GGGTGAGTCTCGACCGTGAGACCCAGACCCAGCGTTCGAGGTTCAAGGTTTTGGCTCGATCGGTCGAGAATGGCGGATCAAAGAGTCAAGGACCGAAGTTCGAGGATCGGGGACCGAGAATTCAAGGATCGAGGAGTCAAGGATCGCGGGCTCAAGGATCTAGAGGCTCGAGGATCGTCACCCCATCCTCTTCTTCCTCCTTCTCCTCCTCTTCGTCATCATTATCACCATCACCATCACCATCGTCGTCACTATCATAATTATCATCACCACTGGCATCCATCATCATCAGCAGCAGCAGCAACAGCATCATCATCGTCATCCTCATCAACGTCATCACCGTCATCATCCGTCCTCCACTTTACCACCGTCATCATCACAATCATCACCCATCATCACGATAGTCATCATCAGCAGCATCAGCAGCAGCAGCAATATGATCATCATGTGTCTTCCCCCGTCATCACCAGCAGCATCATCATCATAGTCGCCATCATCATCATTACCATCATCATCATCATCACCCTCATCATCAATACCATCCGCGTCATTATCATCATCATTAGCATCCGCATCATTATTAGTATCATCAGCATTGTCGACAATCTCGACAACATCGTCATCATCTTCATCATGATCACCATCATCATTATGATCACCATCATCAGCATCATCCCCATCATCGCCATCAGCAGCATCAACATGATCAGCCAAAACATCATCATCATCATCATCAGCAGCAGCATCACCATCAACATCACCATCAGTCAATGCACCCCTTCCGCACCACCAATATTTCGCCCTGCCTGCTCTCTCTGTTTGCGCGCGCTGTCCGCTTGCTGTACTGACTGACTCCTTCTGCACCCGGAGCTATATACTTTGGCTCTGGGGGAACGGAAGAGGAGCGAGCCTGCGGCGCGCGCGCGTGCGTCGGCCAGCGGGCCGGCCTCCTCCCTTCAGTGTTACCTCAGCGTATGCTTGACGGCACTATCCCTTCTTATCCATGTCATCTGCGGAGCCCACTGACCACGAGATATCATCGGAACAGTTTGCAAGGGTTGTGAATATCCAGGCAAAAGACTGGTTATCAGCCGAAACGACGGCACAGCCGTTCGCTTCGCAGAGCATGAGATCTGAAGAAGGAACGCTCGGGCGAACAGAAGATCGAAGACCTTCCGAGCGCAACACAAGTATAAGCGCCTCAACGAGGCGACAAAATCCATTTAACCGTCCCAGTAAGAAAGCATCAGAGACTGCGTTTGATTTAGCAGAAGGGGATTCATCGGTTTATTCAGTGACAAGATCCAGAGAACAACGCTCGAGCGGAAGGTATGGCACAGCCAGAACCTCCGCCGAGGGACCCTCTGAGTTGGCGTCGGCACACCCTGGCTTTCAGCCATCGATCGACATAGATTTCGAAATCGAAAAGTTGTTGGATCATACCCCCATCGAAACGCCAGGCGCCGAAAGTCCGGGCGCCGAGCGCGCAGTGCAGTATACGTTGCATGGACAGAGTGAGGATGTGAGCGATTTACAATCTGAAGGGGATAGTTCCCATTCGATAGAAAACAACGAGGAATATGCCCGATGCCACACCTCGCCTGGTCCGTCGCGTCATCTCGACCCTCTCCCTGATCTGCGTGTTGGTCTCGCTCCTGACCGTATAACGATAGAGGCAAGTCAGAAAGCCATCCTTGATTCGGACAGCGACTTCGAAGACGGAGAGAGCCCAAATCAAGGTGAATACCCATCGGCACAGCCGGTATTGAGCTGCCCCGACGCAATGCGCGCAGAGAGAAATACGCGAGCAATTACAGGTATGACTCCCCATCCGCTAACGAAGAAACCGAAGGGTGAGGACGATGACTTGAGCACCTCGCACTTATGGCAGGGTTTTTACATACCAGACTTCCCATTGTCCAGGACAATCAGAGATAGAGTACCAGAACTTGATGAGCTCGCAACGCAGGACGAAGGAGACGACCTAGCAAGGAGCATGGACGTTGACACCATCAGGCGCAAGAACGAGAGAACAACACGCGCCCACCCTAAGCAGCGAAAGGGGGCGCTCCAGCAAGGCCCCCAGGGCCAGGCGTTCCAGTTCCAGAGGGTTTCATGCCTTTGATTCGCCGCGAATGTCATCGAATAGAACCGCCAGCAGCTTCTTGATGCGGGAGGGCTGCTGGAACGCCGGGCCAACGCGCCCCACTCGTGCGGAGAATCGGTGCCCGGGGAAAGCGCACAAACAGGGGGTTCATGTCGAAGGCCAGCGCATCACGATGGAAGAGCACAATTGCCATCAGATCGTAATTCAAGAGTGGGCGGAAAGAAACAGACAGCTGAGCTGCGAGTGCTCATATCTCCGAGGCACAGGAAAATAGGAAGGCCGCCGAAGAGGTTCAACGACGGCTTGCGGCTGCCGAGGCTGAGAGACAAGCAATTGCACAAAAGATGGAGCATGAGAAAACCATCATTGTGGAAAACGCGCAGAAACTGATGCAGCATGCTGAGGTCAACGCAGCAGGCGTCACAGACGAAGCACGGCGGCGCCTTGCACAAGAGGAAATTGAAAGATTGACAATCCAGCGCATAGCTGAACAATTGGCGTCGGCCCCTCAGCAGAAGGCCGAAAGAGAGAAAGCTGAATACAGAGAGAAGGCTGATGCTGCGAGGAGGGAAGGAGAGACAGAAGCCCGAGAACAGGCAGCGCGAGAAAATCAGGAGCCCTGCAGTCAACTTGAAGCTGGTAGACTCGAGGCCGAAAGAGTGAGATCCGAGGCCCTGCGAGCCCTTCGAGAACAAGAACAGAAGACCCAGGCAACCAGAGAAGAGGACCAGAAAAGAATGCCTGGGGCTGTCTGAGGGGGCACGCGAGAGAACAGATCAGAAACAACGTTCTTGCATCTCGGGCCGTGAGCGAGGAAAACAGGTTGAGGTCTGACCTTGAGCAACGACGGGTCCAAAAGAGGTCGAACCAACGCCAGCACAGCCGGCGCGCGTTGAGCCGCCCCCTCGCCCAATCGCTGCTCGTCCGATCAGGACGCCCGACATTTCGCAAGCCCATACGCGATCAGGCGCTCCGAGTCAGACCTGTCGCATTTGTACACAACCTTCGACCGGAGTATGCAAGCGTCGTTTGAAGCACACGTGCAATGACCACCTGGATATGGGCACCAAACGCTGCGACGAATGCGCTTGGAGGAAAACGCTAGGACATCATGATGACTGCGAGAAGAGGGAAGAACCCCGAGGCATACCCGATGCTCAGAGTGCAGGCAGTGATCCCGATGGGAAATCACCGAGACACTCGGCCTCGCCTAAGGATGTTGAACCCAAAGGCCAGATGAGCAATCTTTCCGACATCATTGGCATGCCAGTTTTCAAACCAGAAAAGTCGGATCTTGGTAAGATGCCGATGCTGATTGCTCCGTCGATGCCATCGCGTCTTCTTGCAAAATCGGATTTTCATTCCTGGGCCGGCTTTCGAGAAGACCTCGGGAGAAGGTTCGACGCGGGGGGGCGCCCGAGGAACGAACCCTGGAAATGCCCCTTTCAATGCGAAGATATCGAATCACC